CATATGCATAATATTACCACTGCACAACAGTACAAGTAAAGGTAATGTCTTACGCCTTGCTTTGACTAACCTGATAGTGCCTAATACCCAAGGATTCAGTTCAGTGTTTGACATAATACACCGAATCTTTGCTTGTTTTACGGTATAGTGATGAAATTGCTATGCTGCAAAGTACGGTCCCCGAAAGATGAACTGAGCGTTTTGAAATTTAACAGTGTCATTGTTCATTTCATACCGTGTTAATTAAGGAATGATTTAGGTGCGAATTAGCTAGCATTTATATGTTCTGAATTCATGTCAATTCGGTGCCAGAGGCCAGTACGAAATCTTTTGATTCCATTGCGTAAACATAGAAATGTATGGAAGACTTTGGTAGAACAACTACTTATATTTCGGACAACGTATGATATTGTCCGCATTCAGTGCGGTGTTGAGCATAAGCATTTTTTTCTTAATTCCCTTTTCTCCTTATCTGATTGCTTGTCTACATTCTGACAGCCATTCGATGTATAACTTTTCTAAAGTTTAAATGCCGATAAATTTTTGAAACGTTATTTGACCTGAAAAATATGCAGTTTCCGTGCAGAGGATGTACAGTTTGATCAGTTTCTAATGGGCAACAGTTTTCAGAAATTGATTTATCATCTGTTTTGAAATTTTGGAAACATATGCAACGCTATCGATAGTTCTTGTCTTATGTTGCAATATTTGTTGTTTACTGTGATTCTTTTTTTTATTGAAAAATGCAATTTTTTGAGATTTTCATGGAATGTTTAAAAATTTTTGTCTGGTATATGGCTTTTAAGATCAGAAACCCCAGATTCTTGTAAAGCAGTCTGTAACGGAGCAGAAGTAGCGCTTCATAATTACAGATTATTGGCGGTTACGACAAGGATGAAAACACCCATTAATAATGGTCATCTGAAAAGAGTACGGTGTGATACGTCACCTTTTAGCGTTGGAACCAGTACATAAAGTTATCTTCGTTACCTAAGGTTAATCCAATCTGAACTGGAAAATCGCCATGGTTTGTTACTTCTGACTGTTACATAGGGTTTTTGGGTTTAATACTAAGCAATATTCACTAACGACAAGACGCAATACTTTTCATTTTAAGCAGGCCTGCCTCTGCGAGGTGTTTTCACATAGTCTATTGCCTTTCAGTGTGTTCAGGGCGAATGTACGGCTTATACGCGAAGAGAATTTTTGCGAAACTTTACATTACTTTAGTCGTTTTGTTAAACTGTGTAGGGTATCTTTCTCTGATTTTTTCCGACAATTTTCTCAGGCCGCTGTTCTGCAGATTCTGCTCATTTCTGACCCTTGATGCTATCAGTTTTCGACGATGTTTTGTTAACAGTACTGTTGAAGGCTGCGGATACGACTGCTTTCATGGTTGTAATCTTTGTGTAACCGTCCTTATATTCCGATCATTCCGTATTTGATGAATCTCGTCCAAATTTGCTTATGTCACTCTAATGCGCCGGCTGACCCGTAGTACGAACAGCAGTAGGCTTCAGCCTCGCACTTTGGTTTGCAGTTAGAGCCTCGTTTCCCTGTTCATGCAGCATTTGCAGCACCCGTAAAGGCTGAGTAAAATATCCTACACAGTAAATAGGTTAGTGGTGTCCACATCATTTGCACAAAGTAAGTAAAATAACGCATCTGCTAAACAAGAATGACGTGTTCAGTGCATTATGATCGTAATTGCGTTGCATTATTTGATTTACCTGATTGTGCGTGTTGGCAAAATAGCATCATTTTGGGTTCCAAAAGTTCTAAAAATTTATTTTTACACTTACTATTGGTTATACTTACTTTTGTCTTTGAATAATACGATGAGACATTAAATGCCATCAGACTGAAAAGTTAACGTAAATTGTTTAAATGACTACTGAATATTGTAATTGAGTTTTTAAAGTTGTAACTGATCACACACTTCTGTAAAGAAATCAGATTTTGATATTTTGAACTCACTGTAACCAGATCTGGAGTATCTTTGAATTTTTAGGATACCAATCCAAGCGATATTCTTCTATTCGAAGATATCGGTTCTGAAGAAACGGCGCTAGTAGAAGATCCGCAGGTAAATTTATACGATGAATATGTCAGCGGCCCCCGACGCCGCCGCAATCTTCTCGGCACCTTTCGCTCGCAGATGAAGATCAAGAAAAGGTTTGACCGGGTCAAGCGTTTCCGTTCGCCGGTCGATCCCGAAGCGGAAGATTTCAGCGCGACAATGTTTATCGAAGACCCTCAGTTGACCGGCTCGATCGATGACCCTGTCGTTAATGACGTGGATTCAGACTTCGAATCGGTCACTTTAAGGTACGTAGATACAACAGCATCATTGCCTGAAAATACGACTTCCAACTCCTACGACATTTTATGTCGTTGTGGTGCACACGTATGAC